GCTGTAACACAGTTGTCGTGGAGGTAGTTTATTCTTTTCCAACAAACCAAACTCTTTTTCAGACATATCTATTTGCAGTAGTAGTACAAAGAACGGCAACCTGAAATTGTCCAGTTTATTTAATTTAAGCAAAAAAATCAACAGCCAACATAAATCAAACCAACTCCAGAGGAAATGAAACTACTAAGAAAACAAAAAGAAAGCTGGTAAATTAGCCAAGAGCACTTAACTTTTTAATTGGAGCATGAACACTTTGTTTTTACCATAGAGCCATCCTCACTTTTGTCTCCATAAAAAGAGATTGTGATTGGTGATGTTACCATGGCAGCATTCACTGTTTTCGTACAGTCTATTGCTCCTTCATACTCTCTCAGTTTCTCTTTTAGACAATAATCCATGACTTTTTTGTCCTATAAATGATAGAAATGCCTTTGAATGAGAATCAAGGACGTTCTGATTCAGACACATCAGCTATACATCAACAGCCTTTGCGTCTCTTCAAAGACAGAGTGTGAGTCAGTTAGAGGCAAGGAGACAAAGTCCACTTTCAACCTTTTCTGCCCTACGTAATAGCCTGTAATTGTTTTACACGCTGAGTGCTGACATCCTGCGGGCTTCTCTGGGAATGAGATGGATTTCATTTCCATTTTCAGTTCTGTGTGAGTGAGTCCTGGCCTGCACTGCTAATAAGCAGATCCACCTCACTTAAAGGACTGGCTTAATTACTGATTCTTGGCTGACCTTGCTGTCTGAACTTTGCTTTAGAGCATCAATTGTGGCTCGTCAATTTCTATGTTAATGAACACTAAAGGCGATGTAGAGGGACAGGGAGGGGACAGTTGTTTTTAGGCAAAGTTGATGTTCCAGGGAGGAGTTACGTGATTAAAAGGCTGTTTGGTAACCTTGGGAGGAAAATGAGAGACACAAGAGACATAAATAACAACTAATTTTAAATGCTGTACTAATTGAACTTTTCTCGCATGTCCTAGGCTGATAAAGTTGTGCTCTTTCTCTTGCTCATTTTGTTTTAACTGAGTTAAAACGATGCCATAACCTACAGAGAACACTCAAACCCCTGCTTTGAGATAATCATACTGACTCTGGCAGACTCTGACACATAGTAACGTTAATCTGAAATCCAAATAATCCCATACTTTTCTTTGCTTTCTAACTTATTCCCAATTTTTTTCTTTTATCCTTTGTTTTGGGGATATGAAGAGACATTTCTACCGGCTGTGGCTCTAATCTTAAAAAAGACAACAAGGTAAGGATTAGGGTTAAAGCCATATCTAATCCAGCATGATTCAACAGCCAAAACCATCAGATCAGTCACTTAACGTAATAGTCAGAAATAAGGAGCTATCAAACATGTAGCATTCTCTGTATATTTCAGTTGACTTGCTAGTTGGCCAGCTGATGGTGATTGGCTCAAACAAAAGCATTAAACTAAACTAGCATTGTTTGAAGACGTATGCTGAGAATTTTGAGGATCACCCTTCGTTTTTGAGTGCATCATTGTATCTATACAAAGGCTTATGTCAGACCTTTTCTTTGATTGTTTTTGCCTCTAGGTCTTGAATGTAGCTCCAGTTGAACTGTTATTGTGTTTTGTAGTTTTTTCTGATGGACCTCATAAGAACAATCCATTTGTACTTCATTATATCTGTGAAATAGGAGAGGTACTATTAAAACAAACCAACAGAATCTGTGATATAGAATTTCCTGAACTACATTGCACACATGCAATATAAAAGGAGCATGCAGATGGAGAACGTTTAAAGCTTACGTTGCTGCACCATTGGGATACCTTCACCTCCCTCCCTTATTATCCTCTGCTGTAATCCTTTGGATGGAAAATGCTGATCCTACTCCAGTTGTTTGATTAAAAGGAGAAGCTTCAGCTGGGAATCATCAGGAATGTTCCCATGACAGCCCTGGATGCTAGCTCTTTACTGGTTTGCTTGATGTGTAATTCAGGTTAATTCGAAGACCTCAGTGAGACTTGCTGATGATGTTAGTGAATGTCTTGGCGTTTATGATACTGTATGTCATATTCATTCAGATAGACACGGCAATGAAACCAGTCAGATCCTTGTCAAGGTCAAATACATAACATTTATTATACAGCCAGATTCTGGTCATGGATTAAAACCTTTTTCAAATTGATGTAAAGTCATTGCTGTGTTAGGATGATTAACCACGCATAAAGATAGGTGATGTGTCTCCACCTTCTACACTGTAAGGAAAGTGTTGTCAAAACTGTTCCCTCGACGGACTGATGTCTTGTGCATATGCAAAGGAACTCTTAGTTGTAGGGGTCAGTTGGTAGAGCTACAGAACTGACTTCCTGCACTATCTACTGACCAAAATACATATTTGATACAGCATAGAGGGTTGCTGCAACCATAGCTCAAGTGTCTCCGGTGGGTTTGAGGCAAACACTGACGGTTATGGAAAGTTCAGTGACTCATAATAGGGTTATCATAAAAAAACATATTTTCACTTCAAGATTATTGTGGCCATAAAGTACTGTGATAATGATATTTTATCAAATTGAGGACAGACAAGACAATGGTAGAGCAGCACTATACATTTTACTTTACTAATCAATACACAAAATTACCCTTCATCATCATCTCTTTACAATGATGTCCAAATCTAGATTTATCCAAATTTCTAGCCCTTTGACCATAAACACCTTGTAAAAGATACTGACTCAAAAACAATTGTCCTGCTTTTTTTTTTTGGACATTTTTCCTGATGTTCGTTTAGGTTGCTTTATTCCTCTATAGTCAAAATATTGATGCCCATTGCCCACGCGTATATCTGCATCAGATCAAAATAAATCTGTTTTAACTTTAAACTTTGTCTCATCTTTCATTTGAAAACATGTTGGAAGATTTCAAGATGGCCTGTACTGCAGCCAGTCAGCAGGCTGAGCTCTAAATGTTTTGGTTTCACTTTTGGGGAGTTTTCCTCTTATCAGTTGTGTCTGACAGAGTCACAGAGTAGTTGGTATGGTAAAATAAATCAACTACAGTTGATTTGATTCATCTATCTCCAAATATTTTGGATATATATATATATATATATATATATATATATATATATATATATATATATATATTTTTTTTTTTTTTCATGGTATGGTGGCCTGCTTGAGCCACTTGATATGAGTTCTTTTGACCCTTGCCTGATTATGTGGTTGAATTGCTGTCAGTTTACTGATAAACCTCTTCAGTCAATATTTTTTAGACAAATTTAATTAGTGGTTGAGTCATGCTTATGACATCTTCATCTAATCTATCCTGCCGTCCATTATCTGGATTTCTTTGTTTTCTGTTCACACGGTTTTCCTTTTACGGTTCTTTGCATTGCCAGCCTCGGCGCTCACAAATGCGTCTTCAAAGCATGGTTTTCAAAGTGCCACTCACTGAGCTCTTTCCCCCTCTCTTCCTCACTGTTTTCAAAAGACACAACTTCAACTGTTTTTTTTTTTTTGGTTCTTGTTTTTTTTCTTCTTTTTTTTCTTTTGGCTGGAGAGCGTTTGTTGGTGGGCTGCCGAGAGAGAAAATCTAGTTCCCTGTTGAAAAATTTAGCAGTACTCGGCATGCTGAAAGAAAGCTAAGCTGTACAATGCTATAAACGCTACTCCAGCGTTTCACTAACTCTCAGCACAAAGTAAAATAACAGGGCTTGGAGTCAGACTGGTATCGTTTCTGCATGGTCCAGCTACTAAATAAACCACTTTATTCCTGAGAAGAAACAAGGAATGGGTGACTGAACATCAAACATTAAAATGTGTGTTTTTTTTTTAAAACACCCAGGACCGCCTTTAATAGAAGAAGACGTTTTCTGTCGTTTTTGGCCAAACATGAAAAAAATATGGCATTGAAATATTAAATAGGTAGGCTGTGTTCTAGGACATCTGTGTCATAACTAAATCTCATCACACAGCCACATTAGCTGTTATGAGATGGTGTGTTTTTAGGTTGTGAACATCCAGCAGTGGGCGGTTACACTCTTGTAAAACCCACTAAGACAAGTCGTTTTTAATCTAACAATCCCGTTTGTTCTTTTCCTCAACTTCTCCTCAATCCTTCTCCTCTGGTCTCCCTTTCAAAATAAGACTCCACTGTTGATTTTCCTCTAAAAGAACAGTTCATGTCATAATTCAATTCACAACATAATTCAACAGAAACGCTCATCGGCCAAGCATGTAAAATGAAAAGATGCCACTTTGGCCTGGAAAGCAATCCGCCTGTTGAGCTTTGAAGGTGATGTTTGTTCAATCGACAAAGGCCAAAGATAAACTTTCTGTTTATGTGAGGCCTTTAAGAGTAGTTAAAATGGAGCGTTTCACACTAAGGCTGAAATAATGGTATTTCAATACACCAGTAAATTTGAACCATTTAAATAAAAGCCCCCATTTAAGTGGTTTCATGTAGTCCACATTATTGAGGTTACTCATTAGTTATTATTGTAAAGTCTTGACATGCCAGCAGGCTGGACATGAGCCGTGTTTCAGTCTATCAATGTCTTTCATTTAGGGGGGTAGACACTGATGGCTCAGCAGTAAGAGCCTGGGCAGATTTCTTTTAAACTGCCACAAAATTAACAGCCATTGCTTTAATTTTCTCCACTTGAAATCCAGTTCTAGCTTGATACGAATTTTGTCTTAATCGCTCAGATGGGACTGAGAAAGAGGGAGTCAAAAGAAAGGAGGAGTTAGCATCGACAGGTGCTGGCTAAAGGAAGCTTGTAACTGGATATATCTTATACATCAGTCAATTTAATCCATGTAGGATGTAAAGTTTTCACTCGCTTCATTTGATCTTGACTTAGTATTATCATTATTATAGTTTTTGAGAAAAGACATTAACATATTACATGACAGCAATGCCAGAATTTATGTGGTTTAATTCAGTTTAACATTTAATTGGAATTTGATTACATCTGTGGTTATCTTTTATGATAAATAATGCAAGGATGCAAATCAGAAACAGGACACTGCTGGAGTAAGCCACACCCACTTCCAGTTTTCTATCCGCATACAGACAGAAAAATACGACATGGCTGCACACCCCTCACAGATATAATGATTGTACTGGAACAACATGTTAGAAAGCCACACTAACTATGGGTGACTTCCTGAAACAGACCAAATATATGAAAAATGTTCTTTTTAAAAAGGGATAATAAAGTTCTGTTGAGCCTTAAATTTCTTGTTTGTAACTTCATTGTTTGTATTCTGTACATATCACACGTGTAACAATCACTACCAGTTTTTTATCAGACAAATTACTGTCAGCATCAGAGTTTTTGAAAATAATGGACATTTGGAAAGTAAACTTGTTTGTTTACTTGTCTTTAATCCCACTGGTGTGCTCTGGCAGTTAGCCGCGGTTTTGTGCTGGCACACGTGCGCACCAGATGAGCAGGGGAAATGGCATCATCTCCACAATTACAGGAAGGTCACGACCTGCTGTCACGGCAACTGCTTGGCATCCGTTTGGAAACTGCTTGGCACCCACAACCTGCAGATTTCATAAACCTGCAATTAGACGCTGGGCATGTATCAGTCAGCACACTCTGTGAAACATCTGCTTGTGTGTGTGTGTGTGTGTGTGTGTGTGTGTGTGTGTGTGTGTGTGTGTGTGTGTGTGTGTGTGTGTGTTACATTAGAAGAGATTACAGGTGAGGCAGCCAAATGATGGACAGGTGGGAAAGAGACTGATGAGAGAGAGAGATGCATTTTGTCATCTTGTTGAAATGTTAAATTATTAGCGTCACTCGATCTGAAAATAATCTGCACAAAATGGTGAGACTGCTGTACTTTAATGGGACAGAGCTGTCATGGATCATGGCTCAGGGGTAAAGTGGGTCATCTGTCAATCTTAGAGTTGGCGGTTTAACCCTGGATCATGCATCCAAAGTGTCTTTGTCCAGTCATTAAATCCCAAATTGCTCCTGTAGCCGTAGCTACTGTTGTTTAGATGTGTGATTATGTACATCAGACCTTTTAGGCAACCAAGCACTTTGCATAGCAGCCTCTGTTATCAGTGTGTGAATGAATGAACGTGATATGTAATGTAAAAGCACTTTGAATAGTTGAGAGACCCTGCTGAAAAGAAGGGATCAATTTCGTTAAAATCAACCATCGGTTATTATATGAACAAAGCATCAAGTCAGGAAAAAAACGATCTACGTCAACATCAAATTTGAAGCTTGTCTAGCCCAGGATCTGTAGAATTTATGGACAGACTTAAAAACAGACATGGCCTCTTCATTGACTGCTCACCTGCAAACATTTAAAGAAGTGCTGTTACAATATCAGAGTTTCTCCTCATGATTTATCAAAAATCTTTTGATAAAGATGTAATCACAATATTTCTGTTATTTAATGTTATAAAACTATATTATTTCATACAAATACCCAACTTTTATTTGTTTTAATCTCTCTTTTCAACAGACATGTTATGCACAGTCGTACATTGCAGCAAAAGCTGGTGTAAGTGATCCGGTTTTTGTTCAACTTTACAGAAGAGATTGGTACAGAAAACCATAGTTTGTGAATCTTTTATTGTGACATGTTTATTTCCATGCCTTAAGGGTCCTTTAACATAAAAAAAAATGCTTTTATTGTGAAATTACATTTAAAAAAATTCCAGTTAATGGTAATAAACTGGACTGAAAGAAATCAGAGAAATTTCAACTTTTTTGTATGGCACTTTTCAGACATGTAGTTCAAAGTGCCTCACAGATGACAGTTAAATTAGCAGATGACAGTTAAAAGAGGCAAATGTTGAATTTCCAATCCATTCAAATTCACAATTTTGTGTAATTCAAGAGAAAGATTAAATCAAATCAAATCAAATCAAAAGAGAGCTGCAAGAGCTACATTTGTTAAAAGAACTGATAAACGTAATGCTACTTCCCAAAAATGAACACTTGAATCAGCAAGATGAAAGCTAACTGCAATGATAGAAATCAGTTTAAAAGGCATTTATTATATTTTGTTAATTTTCTAATTAACCCATGTTCCATCTGTCATAATTGAAGAGGCAGGCTCATGACCTATTCTGCAGCCAGCTAAGAATTTTACCTTCATTTTGGACGAGCTGTTGAGCCGTCCATGTTTTTATATGGTCAACAGTTGCCTGCAGTTTAATGTAAAAATGTGTGGACTCAATAACACAGACACTTCAAACAATATTCAAAAGGACGTACAGCCCTGAAACTAACTGATGTCAACCATTAGTATATTTTCACATGCTGTTCCTTCATCCGTTCTGGTGCAGTGTGTGTCCCACTGAGAAATCAGGTTTTTTTTTTTTTTTCTTTTGCTAATTTTCAATTCGCAACCAAGGAAATTAATTGTTTCTTTATCTGATTGCATTCTAATGCACAGTCTATTTCTGTCCGTGCAGGAAAGTGGGACATGATTCCAATTTCTGATAGTGCTGTTTAAAGAGGGCTGGTCTCTTTTTGAAGCACTCGCAAGCTTTTTTTATGAATCTGTCACTGCTGATACTGTACTGACAGAGAAGCTGCTGTAGAGTTCATGAAGGATAAAGAACATGTACGTTACTGCGGCACGAGGGGAGGAGACAGACAGGTTTAGGAGTAAAAAGCCCGATGATCTCTGCAGTTTCTATGGCATCACTCATATAGCTTCCATCCACTGAATATTTATCAGGCAGGAGTATGTGAGTGAGCGAGTGACTTAATGAGTGGGTGGGTGAGTGAGTGAGTGGGTGAGATTGTTTAAAGAGAGCGAAGAGGAGGTTTTATGTCATGTCAGGCAAGTTCTATATTTTCTGCATGACGGATAATGGTCAGGTACCTACTCACACTCTGAAAGCAGAAAGTGTGGAGGCAGATGCGTCTGTGACGAGTTTCCTGAGCCTGGGGCGAGTGCGGTTACACAAGACTGCCCTTCTCTTTCCCTTCCAGTGTTCAGACACCACCGATCCAGATGAGGTTTAATAACGAGAGGTGAATGTCCTTAAATTGACGTACAAACACACATGCCAGTCTGGGCCTGTGTGTCCTTGAGCTTTTAGACTTCTGAGAAGATCCGTCTTCTTTGTAACATCAACGCAGTCACTCTTGATGCCTGAGAGGAATTTACTACAGATGAATGATGTGAAGACCCCCAGACAATCACTGTAATTGAGATGAAAACTGAAAACTGTTGATGTGGTCTTAAAAAGCCTCTTTTTTTGCAACTTTTAGTTTTAGTTTTTGAAAGAAATTATGAAGTTTACTAGCTTTAATCTGATCTGACTGGTCTCTGTCACAGGTAAAGCCTTTATTTTCCTTTTAGGTGGAACTGAAGGCCACATTTAGATTTAATTTGTATCACACGTACTGTCATCCTCTAGTGTTTCAGCTGGCGTTGGTGGTTGGCAGGAAAACAGTCTATGCGGTGAGCAAAAGGGGGGAGAATTCCATACGGCATGATGGAGTCCTGGTGGCAATCTGGCAGTGATTTAGCTTCAGTTCATGTCTTTAAACAAATATCTTCATTTAAGTGTAGCCAACAATCTGCTCTAGCACTACCTTCATTTTTGCTCCCAAAGTTGCCAGTTGGGCAATTCAATAGGCTTGCAGTCTTCATTAGTCAGTGACATTTTTTAGGAGATGTGCATTAACTTCGTGAATAGGCTGAGGTACAGGTCTACATGGGTAGGCTATGGCGTAGGTCCATCACAGATGCATAAATTTGGCATAACTCAACAGCAAGAGCATCTCTAAAGGGGCAGCTAAACATCCACTCAAAGCACTTTTCACTTTTGCCTCTTGACACTGTGGCAAAAACACTGGTATTGTAAATCAGCCAGCTAAACAACAAAGAGGATGTCTTCATACCAGATCACGTCTTGCAATCCAGGTGACAGCAGAGCAAGTACATCTCTAGGTTGCTGATTGAAACATTAAAAGTGATGAAAACCAAACATTGACATTGGAGAAAAAAATGATAATACGTGGCCACGAGATAATAAGTTGCAGTACAAGAGCAAGGCGCTGCAAACAAAAATCGTCTTGCCTTTGTATCGTAATTTGCAGAATTTTCCCTGTGCACTCGCCCGGCTACCGGCTGTGCATAGAGATCAATATTACTCATCGAGCTCGAAGAACGGCTTTTTTTTGTAACAAGCCGGTTTTGATCTTTGTAGCTAGTAGTCTTTTCTATTATGACGTGAAAGAGGCATCATTTGTGTTTAGACAACGTTTTATCTCAGAGTTATCGATCCCAGGAGTCCAAATCTGTGAACATCTTTCCAACTTTACCAAATTCATGTCAGTGTTGGTAATGCTGAATGAACGAGGGTAGGTTTAGTGTCCTGGATAGACGGATGGTTGAGGCATCAGGGTCCAAAGCTGCAAGAATCAAACAAACTCCCTCTAAATCCCCCTGGCAGACCCCGCTACTTAGGTTGTTAATGCACAGTGTTTTTGGTAGAGTCTGCACTTCAGGGTTATACACTCTACGTCTTCAGACCATCTGGGTTTGTTTAAGGAGAACTGCTGGTCCTCCACTGCAGATCGCCACACAGGAGAGCGTGTAACCAGTCAGTGTTATAGCTTCGTCGGGTGTATTTTCTTCAAACCATGTTTCACAGTTCACTGTATATTTTCCCCTTACTTAACAAAATGCTGTAAGACAATTTAAACCTTCAGCAAAACAGTTATCAGGCAATCAAAAGACATTTAAGTGGCACCTGTATGTCCCATTTAAAGCTAACCAACCCATTAGAAAAACAAAGTATGTCCTTACGGTTAATACGCATGCTAGTTACTGCCGTTCCACAGACTGAGTCTAATGCAGCAATACAACAGGCCAAAAGACAGTAAGGTGACATTGTCCTCTGAAGTCTTTCTTAATAGAATAAACTGTATGCATGTACACAGCAGGATCTATGAGAGATAGGTACAGCTTTGTCAACTAAAGGTCCTTTCAAACCGGGACCGTTTTTGTCACGCGATTATGTCGGACGTCAATATTTTTTTGAACCCGTATCCTGCTAATACAAGTGTTAACATAAGCAACGTTTTCCCATTCTGCGATATTGCGGTAGTTATTTTTTCGGATTATGGTCGATTTTTCTAAAGTTTTACATACTGTGTGTCCACTTCTGATCAGATTTCGTGTTGTTGCGACATCAGATTCACCTAGTCCTCTGCCTCTTCAAACCTGGAGCTAATTGTTTCAGCAGAACTCCAAATTGTCAAACGGACATCCGAAAATAGGTTCTGAAGCGACCGTGGTACAGCTTCAGCTCCTGAACCAAGCAGTGAAACTCACTAAGTTCTCTTCTTTTTTTTAATATTGGATGCACCCATGTGCTACATTTCTTTTTCTTTTAAAGAACGCAAAAGGAGTACCAATTCGCCATCACTTGAAGTTGAAGTAGATTCCATTTTTGTTCTCTCACTTCCACCCGGGACACTGTAGGTTGTTAAGGGAAGGTCCGGCCGTCCTTCATCTCTGATTGGCTATAAATTCTGACCGTTTGGCTTGAGCATGTGATGATGTTTCCAGCTTTTCTGGCCAATCAGAAGGCGAAGGAGGTGGGACTTTCCCCCGGAAAAATCTTCCCTGGGATGCGTCTTTTTCCCCCCGGAAAGTCACAAAATCACATCGGCCTTGATGTGTATAGTCAGGTGCGTCAAAATTCGTCTCTGAATATTTCGTGATTTCGCGTTCTATAATTGTGTCGGCCCCGGTGTGTAAGGACCTTAAGGCAGCTAAAATCAACACAAAATAAAAACTTCTAATAACCACTTTGAGGACACAAAAAAAGTTATCAGAATTTAAAAAAGAAATGTATTTAGGTGATCAAGTGTTTGTCAGGGATGCATTTCCATGTACTGTTTTTGGCACTGATGTACTGAAGCTAAGTGTATAAACTCAGTTTATTGTGTTTTATTTTTGTTTTTCTCTAAGCTTCTATTTCACAACATAAATGACTTTTTATTTTTAAAAAAAACGATCGAGCTACTCAACAATATATCTAGTCTGAATGTTAAGTTTCTCTTTCTGCCAAACAGTCAAGTCATACCTCCAGGCACAGCAGCTGTAATAATGACGCTCTCAGCACTTTAAACTTTAATATTCTGAGAACATTTCACTCAAAATTTATTTGTATTTTTCTATATGTGATTGTTAACAAACCTTTAGTAGAAACTGTTATTTTGCTGCACATCTCTCAGAATGTCAAACTCAGTACCCAGTTTGCTCTCTAACGCGAGTGCCTCTGACTTGACGAGGAATCAAATTCTGAATTTCTGATCTGAAAACAAAATTTCATCAGCCTGTGGCTGTTTGAATACTGGCAATAGTGAATGTAACTTTTTTTTTCTGTGCCGGCAGCATTGTTAAAAAAAAAACTCCAACAGAGGTAGATGTTTTCTCTCCGAGATGATCTTCCCCTGGATAATCCACCAAGCATGCTGGGAACAGATCTTATTACTGTCTAGCAAAGAAAAAACAAGCATGAATGGAGAGTTTGTTGCCCTGAAATAGTTTGCGTTTTCGAGTTTCTAAGTTTTGTTGGGTTGATTTTAGTGCAACACTGAAATGATTGTGAGGGGAGAAATAAAGGGGCACGCAGCAGGGGGAGAGTGTGAAATTACGTGTGAATAGCAATCCCTCAGAAATCAGAAAACACCAGTGCGTGCGTGCGTGCGTGCGTGCGTGCGTGCGTGCGTGCGTACGTGCGTGCGTACGTGTGTGTGTGTGTGAGACGTTTCATACTTAGCCATGAGTGGAGATGAATAGAAGACCTGACTCATTCACAATTGTTTTTCTACCTGTTCAACCACACAGGAGTTCTATCATACCTGACAGATTAGACCTTTACACAGGCTGAAAGTGGCAGATTAATGCTGGGAGTTGTATGAAGTCTGGACTGGACTCTAAAATGGCTGAGGTGTCATTTGTCCTGAGCGCACAGGTGAAAACAACACTGAACAGAGAGTCTATTGGAGGTCAATCAGGCAGCCCAAACAGGCCCACACAGTTTCAGACAGGATACTCGAACCACGTGAGTGAGATTATCATACAGGAAGATGCTTGTCAATATTTTATTTAAATATATTTATTTTAGTGGTTTAATTGGCTCCAACCTGGGGGGTCTGGGCCCTCTTAAGAAAAGGCACCAGAGATCTGAGGGGGGATTGTGACGCTCTAAGAAGTCATGCATTAAATCATGCACACACCAGATGGATAGATAACACAGCTTTCTCTACATTTGACTGTGTAAAAAAATGTATTTTCCACCTTCCTTTTAGTAAGAATATCAAAATTGATGGTTATTCTCAGTAGCACCACTTCACTTTTTTTCTCTGTGAGGACCCTGAAGGGGCTTGACTTTTCATAAGAAGTATGGGAAAAAGGTTGGAAACCACTTGATTAAATAATGCAAAGGAATAAAAAAGTGAAGACGCAGAAAAGGAAAAAGGTTCATAAAGAAGAATAAGAAAAGAAAAGAGAAATTTTATTGATCCCTGGAGGGAAATTCAATGTTAACAACCTGTTATTGAACATTCAACACACAGAGAAGCAGGAAATACATACACATGCACAAGCAAGGTCTTATAAGGATGTAGAGTAAAGGGGAAGCACAAAGGTGGATGAACCCACTGTATTGGGAATCTGTGCCTTGCTGAAGGGCACCTAAGCAGTGCCCAGGAGGTCAAGTGGCAGTTTCAGACTATAAGCAGAAAGTCAGTACTTTGGTCTTAACAGGAGACTTAAAAGGTGACCATACAAAGTAAGGTGGTGTCTGTGTTTGACTGACAGCAGGAATGTCATTTTCTTTCTTTCTTTCTTTCTTTCTTTCTTTCTTTCTTTCTTTCTTTCTTTCTTTCTTTAGTTAGTTAGTTAGTTAGTTAGTTAGTTTAAGGTAGCCAAACAGGAGCTCTTACTTTTATAATACCTGAGTGTGACACCAAAGTGTAAAGCCTGTACGTGCAAAACACAATTAGTTAGATTTCCTCCTTTTTTAAAACCAGGTTGTTCCCATTGATATAGATTTAAAAAAAAAATGCTGCAGACACAGAGAACCATAGCACAATTCATAAGCACTAAAACGTGCAATAAAAAGAAACTAAGAGTCAGCTGTGCAACCAGGTTACCTTCATGCATCAGTCTTTCATTTTCAGATTTAAAACACCAACTCCTTGAATATCAATCCTCAAAAGATCTGTTCCCAATTGTTTGTCCAATCTCTCAGACAAGAAGCATTAAAAATTCCTGGGAGTGCTGTATATACTCTTCAGCATTTATCTAGGGTGACCATATTCCAACCCCCAAAAAGAGGACAGTACTAAGCGGGCAGAGCCACGTGTCGTTAATTTAGAGAGTTTTTTTTTCGGGTCAGGTCGAGTGTTTTTTACGTGCTTCTAACTCAGTTAGTCCATGCAACCCAAACTCAAAACTTCCAAACAGAACCCTGGGTATTTGAAGGATTTTATAAAGACAGGTCAAACAGCCCCCCCAAAAGAGGACATGTCTAGGTAAAAGAGGACGTATGATCACCCTAACTAATCTAAGTGATAAAGAGACAGTGTAGGGTATTTATCAAGAAGCAGACAACAGCTTGAAGGGTAGGCAAAAGGAAAAAACAAAACAAAAAAAGTGCACAAATGAGACTGCAATCAGATTTTGGCCACCCCTAGCTGCCTTACTGCAGGAGGGAGCTGCACCATGATATTGGAAACTATACATGATCAGATTTCACTGCTACAGACTGATATCAAAGGTTCCAAACAGGGAAGAACAGACACACAAGTGGGGGACAGGGGGCAGCAGCTCCCCAACTTCAGTATCCTACCTGACAGCCAATTAGTTGAATGGTCTTGAAACACTGCAAACACAAAATACGTATCAGAACAGTTGCTTCTAAACTGCTAAAGTTATTCAACACTTTCTAAACAAACTGCATCACTGACTAAAGTTAAACTGTTAAACTCTGGATGTGAGGTCAACTGAGTAAAGTGTAACAGTAAAAACTGGTCGAATGGACTAGTTCAAAGTTCCTCTTTGATAGACAGTGAAAAGCTTGAATCCTTTGATCACTTTGCTGCCGTCATGACCCAGAGATTTGACGTGCTTCATTTCCATATTGCTTACGTTCCCAGTCATCACTGAGTTTGCCTCAAGCCTCAGCTTCACTCCAGTTTTATAGAACTATAAAGTCCCATCTTGTCTTGAGCTAAATCTGTTGATTCTCACTTTTACAAACATTGAGCTTTTTGAACCTAACTTTTTTACAGGCTGTCATCTCATATAAGGCTAAGAGATTAGCAGTTCGAACTTCCTTTATGATCAAATTTTCATCTTTTCTTCTCTTTCTCTCGCCTTCTTTCCCCTTTAATATCTGCCTCCCTTTTTTCTCCCCTCTCGCTCTCTCTTTCTCCCTCTCCATTTCCTTCTCAGTCTTCCTAGAGGAGAGGTGAGGAGCCTCTCTGCACATGCCGTCTCTGTTCGGAGCTGAAGCCTCTGACCTGAGTTATAGGTGTCTGCTGGAATTTCTTTCCTCCTCATCCATTTCACTGTTTAATCGATGGGAATGAAAGAGTGCAGGTGCAGCCGCGGCGTGCGTTACAGCGCCAGCAGGGGACGGTGTGTGGTGCACTAGGACCGGGGAGAGATCCTTCTCGTCGTGTGCAACTCCAGAGCGGAGCTGTGGAGGGAACCCCCCATCGGATCTGGCCATTATATCCATACATTTCTTTTACCCCCATCTCCTCCACCGCGGCGCTGCTGAGTGGGGATCGCACCGAGCAGTGCGTCTTGGGCTGGTGAAGCACCCAAGAGGAGAGGATTAGGAATCGAGCACGATTTGAGTCAGATCTTTTTTGGAAGGGGGTGATCATTTGGCATCTGCGCCCCCGCTCTTTTTCACAAACATTTTTTTTTTAATGGTGGTAGTGGTCTGTTTCTTTTTTCAGATTTCTTCCCAGCATCCTTTTTATTCCAAGCGCGCAAAGTCACATCTGCGTAGGAGAGCGCTTGGCGCACTTCTTCCCCAAAGGACACAGATAAGATCTCCATCATTCTGTTTGGATTTAAACCGGACGACTGGCTGAATGGGTGACCTCGCTGAGACACACAGCACCACTGGCTTGCACCAATTTTCTGGAAACGTGTTTTCTCTATTGACCCGGAGTTGTGATGTCCAAAGCCTTCCCCACTGACTGACAAACGGCGTCGTACGATTTTGGAATCGAGTTGAAGGTAGGCCAGTTTTTTCCTTCTTTGGCTTTGCCTCAGAACACGGTTTGCCTGAGCGTTTGATAAAGTTGGTTTGGTTCAGTTGCTTCTTCGATTATTGCGGCAATTAATTGATCGACTACGACTCTGGGTTCACGCCGGACAGTTGCACCAGTGATGCCAAGGTGGGGGAAACAGAGGGGATATGGTATTCATCAGTTTTAAAAGGCTGTAAGTGTGTCAGACGCTGTGAAGAGGAGAAGTTCAGCACCTGCCAGTGTTGCAGCAAAGGGATGAAGTCGAATACAGACCATTGTGTTCCGTAACATCCGACAAAGACACGAATAAATCATAAAACTCATGATATCGCATCGTATAGGCACACTAATAAGTGTTTGTATTTTGCCGTATAGAGTGTGTCCTCATTTGGTGTAATTTGGCTCACGTTATGTCTGCTCAATGATGGAGCTGCCGGAGAAGCCCTCTGCAGTGCAGTCTCACACACCGGCCCGCCGGGCTCACTGGAGCTCACTGAGGAGAGGATTTAGATAAAGGTGTAAACGAAGCAGCAGCTTTCCCCTCAAGCTAGACTACCAGTTAGCCTTATTATAAGCACAATCCTGCTTTTATACCGAGGATAGGGGCTGTTCTGACTGAATCACTGAGGCACCGTCTTCAACTACAAAATAGAGCCAAGTTTTCGGAATGGTTGCGCCACCAAATCAACTCACAATCTTCTCTCTCTTTCTTCCTCTCTTTTTTTTTCTCTGCATGTGTTTGTGTGTCTCACGTGTGCGCGCACACACACACACACACATTCCCCTATCTGTAACGAGTGTGTGTGTGCGAGAGAGAGAGAGAGAGAGAGAGAGAGAGAAAGGGAGAGAGAGTGCGTCAACGTAGTTGCAGAGTCCACATCCGAGACACAGAAACAAAACGTCAAAACTCGCTCACTGTCTTTTTATCCAGTTATCCCAATCATGACGCTTATTCAGCTGCACTGAAATGACAGCTTTATGCTCCACCAACCCGCGCGCTTCAACATCCACTGGCTCTCATGCCTTTTTGACCTACTGTACGAGTTTCCCGTGGGGACAAACAGCGCGGTCCCCTGTGTGGCACAACGCGAATACCGACGCATGACGCAGGAATCTGAGCGCTGATTGATGATGATCCTATTCGTGGAAGTGCGCCGGAATCTAAAATGCCGGAGCACTTTGAGCCTGGGTTGCAAATCTTGGAAACAGTCAGCAGTCAGGAACGGTCATTTGTGTCTTTTTCTTTCCGCCTTCTTGCTGTTTCACTGCTCTGCTTAGAGTCGTTTTGAAGAAATATAGCTGGTGGGGTCATCTTGATTATGAGCTTTGAGTGAGCACATGCTTCTCTCAAGGTAGGCACCCTCTCTCTCTGTGTCTTGCACATAAACACACACAGGGGACTGTTTGTGTTGCTTGAAACACAATTAAATGCATCTGAAGCTTTCTCACTGCTTTCCTCCTGGACTGCATTTTGGAGCAGAACCCAAAGCCAGGCTCCTTCAAGCAGAGCTGACTGTTTTTATGGCTTTCTCAGGTGGCCTATATCGTCTTGAGCCAGAGAGTCCAGTTGGAGGTGAAGCACATTTCCACTTCACCTTATTAAGCTCTACAGAGCCATGAAAGAACATGTCTGAGTGTCACTCTGGATTTCCAGGGCAGATTTCAGCAGCATGCGGCCATGCATTTAATGAATTGGTAAAGTCATTTATTCTGTCTGATGTTCCAAAGTGCAGCAGCAGATAAAACTGACAGGGCCGTCACTGCTGCCAGCAGCACCTCGTCATAGAGGGGATGACAGGAACTGTCCGTGGTGCTGAAACAGACAGCTCCTTTGTTCAACTCTGGGATGAGATGGGAAGTTACTCAGATGGACTTTTATACTCTAGGACTTGAAGACTTTGTCCATGTTCATACTAAACTTAATACTTTGAATCATGCTACCTCCTTTCATGGACATGTTGAGTCCATTTCACACCTCCTGGTACAAAAACACATTGTGTGCCTTGTGTTCTCTCTCTTTCTCCTTCGCTCTCTCTCTTTGTCTTTCTTTCTGCACTACAGTGTTTGCTTTAAATGGCCTCATCGTGTGTACCGAGTGGTGTTAAAAATCCATTAGCTGATCATCATGGAGTGGTGCTTGGCTTAGCCACGTGAGAGTCTGTTTTTCGGTGAAAAAAAAGAAACACAAACAGTGTAGAAAGGGGCTCCAACTGTGTGAAAAAAGTCCTGCGTTTCTGCCGTTACTTGACAACAGGTTATGTTGCAGGATAACACAATATTTATGTGAGAGAATTTGGCTGTTTTCAGACACTCATGGCTCTGATAAATCCAAATGAAATCACAGGATACATCCTCTTTTTTTTCTGTTGTGTGTAAAAAGTGCAAACCATGTGGACTGAAATAACAGAGTGAGAAGCTTTTGAAGGCAATGGTAGTGTTGTCTTTGAATTGCAGTGACAATGTAACTTTAAAGGTCTACTTGTCAATTTTGCTGTTATACTTCATAAAAGTCCCTCAAACCAAAGGAATCTGAGACTCAAAATGCCGATCGACGTAGTTATTTTTGTGTATATTTTTTTATTTAGCTACCTGCAGGGTTAACTACCCAATTGCGGTTGCTATAATAATGCACAGAGCACACACCATGCTTTCTATAAACACAGTTGGGGAAGCGTTACACAGCCAGAGTGGAAATCAAATTAACCCAAGGGGAACCATGGCATCCAGAGTTTGTCTAATAAGCAGCCACATTGTTTTTCTGTGATTACTTTTGCACCATTTCTTTAAATGAGCAAGTCCCCGAGATCCAAAAACACCTTTGCATGATAAGAGAGCAGCACTTTAACTAAACCACTCAGTGCCCAGTGGGACCTCCTACGAGCCAATTTGTTTGTGTTAATGGTCATCCACTCACTCCAAGGAAGAGCTGCTGGAGAGTCTTCCTCTCTTGCTACTGTGCTGGTGATGAATGATGTGTGTGTTTCCTCTCCTAACATTGATTGAATTAGGCCACCCCACAGACCCATTGCTTTCCCAAGGAGCTCTCGAAGGCGATCCTGCGGTGAAGTGTATCAATAAGCGGGGTGGATGGAGTGTAAGTGGTGGTGTTGCCGCGGGCAGACAGCCGGTGATGAGGAGGAGGAGGAGGAGGAGGGTGACATGCTTAGGGAGGAGTGCCGGTTGCTGATCACATAGCAGATTGGGAGCCCTCGGTGCTGGCGTCTGTTGGTCCCTGCAGTGGTAGGAGAGAGGGGCGGAGCCAACCAGAGCTGACCCAGAACCCCGTACTGGGCCTGTGTACAAGTCACTTAAGCTGTAATTTAGTCTATCACATCAACCACAAGGCTTTTCTTTTGAGGTATTTAGCCAGTGAAGCCGAGCTGTGATCAGGTGACGAACGTGGCTGTCTGAAAATAAAAGCGTACAACAACGAGGCGGTTTGATGGCTTTGTTTTGAAGCCTGCTTGCTTTGACGTGAACCCCCATGAGGCCACTGGCAGCTGAGCTCCCACTGTGGCAGATTGATATTTGTAATTTAAGGGAAGCTGTCACACAGCATCCTCCAGATGGAGAGAGCCGCAGAGGCACGCAGTCGATTAA